AAGGAAGCTAAAGCACAGAGGTCAACTTACTTGCCCAAGCTTTCAACGGCAGCCGTGTCAACCCCTGAGCCAACCCCAAAGACTGGCCACCCTGCAATCAGCAGCCGGAGGAAGGTGGGTATGGCTCTGTCAACTTTGCATGTGCAGCCAAAGGCTCAACCAGGAGGTTTGACTTGCACCAGGTCACAGCTGGGATGCCAGGCCTGCTCTTGTCTCCACCACCCCTGCCCTGGGATGGTCATCTGTGGGCCGAAGTCAGCAGTAAGGAAGCAGCCACTGGCCAGTCTGTCCTAAGTCACCCTGGGAGGGGTCTGGGGAAGCCACTTCCGCCAGAGCTCTGCAAGGACAAATGTCACTGACTGCTGCCTCCGATGACCCAGCAGACAGGGTCAATCAAGCACCTTCCCTTGTGGGTGCGAAGCCCCAAGCGCACCCCAATCCCCACACAGATCTCTGCTAAGAGCAATGAGTGTCACTGAATGCTTTTAAGTGCAGACACAGGAAGGGAAAAAAGATCAAGCAGGAAGAGGGCAAGAAAAGGGGTGACTTGGGTTTCATACAACACAGCCTCTGGGAAAGGAACTTTTTTTTCCCTTTTGGTACTGGGGAATGAACCCGGGGCAGCTGCAGGTACACACCCCACCACTAAGCTACTTCACAGCCCTTCCTGAATTTTCCTTTGAGACAGGCTCTTGCTAAGTTGCTCAGGCTGGCCGTGAACTTGTGGTCCTCCTGCATCAGCTTCTGTAGAAGCGGGGCTGACAGATGTGAGCCCTCATGGCTAGTAAAGGGGGACTTTTGGTAAAGGTCTAAACGGAGTAAACAATCAAGCCATGCTTCAACTATGTTGAGGAGGAGCCTTTAACAGAGAAGGCACAGCAAGTGCAAGGCTCCCATGGCAGCCAGGAGCATTCAGGCCACATCTGCAGAGACCCACGTGCAAAGCAAGACGGGTGCTGATGCAGGTCCTGGAGTTTCCCATCAGCTGCCACATGACCTGGATTCCTAGTCATGGGCACAGTGCAGCAGGAAGTACAAGGTTACAAAGAGCAGAACCTTGGAGAGCACCAGCATGCCCTCAGTACTTATAAGTACTGCTGTGTGCACTGACTGGCTCAGTACACCATCCCTATCCCTACAAGGAGAAAGCGGAGCCTCACAAAGTCACACAGCTGGCAGAAGTGGGTGTAGAAGGCAAATCCAAAGGCTTCTGGCTCCATGCTCCATCCTTCCTACCCTTAGTGTGCACAGTAGAGGCTCACTGCACGGAGTCTCCCTTCTCTGGGTGTGAAAGAAGTACACTCAGCTCAGTGTTCCACCCAACCTCAGGACCTTTGCACAAGCACTTCTCACTGTCTGGAATGTTCCTTTGCTGGCTACCATCTTGCTATCTAATTCATTCTGGTTTAATTCATTAAGGGTCAAAGCTTCTAGGAAGCCCTGGTAACTACTCAGGCTCTGAGATGAAGGTCTACTTGAGAGGAGTGTAGATGGAGTTGAAAGGCAGGAGAACCAACAGTGAAAGAAGAATTCAGAGAGAGAGAGAGAGAGAGAGAGAGAGAGAGAGAGAGAGAGAGAGAGATGGGAGAGATGGGAAGGAGAACAGGAGAGAGGACAAAAGGAGAGAGAACTGCCCAACACTCCCACATCACATCAGAGCAGAAGGCCTGCAGAGCCACTGCCTCCTGTACCCCTTGGCTGGGCTGGGAACTGAGCCTCATTACAGGAAGCACGACCTCTGGGAGCTGAGCTCTGGGGAGGGATCTGTCACTGCACCTTCCAGGTTAATGGGGTCAGGGGCTGCTCTAAGTGAGTGTCAGGTTCCTTGAGGGGCTAAGAGAGCTGCCTCCCTCCTCTGGACCCTGCCCACAGACTAGAGCTTGGGCATCCTTGGAAAGGACTCTGGGCCCTGTACTGACATAAACACTCCCTCCCTCCAGCCTGGGGCTGGAGACAATGATCACTGATAACTGGGGGTGACGCATATCTCAGACACTTGCCACTGTCCCACACTGTCACAGTTTTATAGGTAACAAAACAGAGGCATAGGGGATGCACTGGTGAATACCTGCAATCACAACTGACAGGGAGCCTGGGGCTGGGAGATCTCAGATTTGAGGCCAGCCTGGGCAACATGGTAAGGCTGTCTCAAAATAAAACTGAGAAGGGCTGAGGGTATAGCTTAGTGGTAGAGCATTGGCCCAGTAGCACAAGATCCTGAGTTCAATCCCTGGTACCACAAAGCAAAAACAAAGACAAATACCCACAAAACAAACCCCTAGACCTAAGGCAGAGAGTTGATATTGCTTACCTAGATCACCCAGCAAGTAACAGAACCAAGATTTGCTTCCAAATTTGACTCCAAAAATCCAAGCTTTATCCATTATGTCAGTTTTTTAAAAAAGAGTAACATTTAACAAGATGACATTTAACATTAAAACCCCCTTTCCTAGTGATGTCCAACCATGTTCACGTCCTTTTAAACATATTTCATGAATATTCAAGCAAATACATACCCATTTTCCTTTCATTTTATTCAGAGCATATTACACACTATGTTATGCAACATGCCATTTTCAGAGGACTGATTTATCTGCCCCTTTTTATTAGGACATAAAGGGTATTTCTTTCCCTCTTTAAGGCACAAAGTACTCAGTGTAGAGGCACCTTATTTGCATCAGGCTCCCCTCATGGACACTTAGGTTATGTCCAATCTCCAATTCATGGACACTTGGGTTATTGCAAAGCTTTGCTCTTACTGTTGATGGTGCACTGGCATTAGACATTCATTTTGGTACAACATATCTAAAAGATAAAAGTACCTACAAGATAAGTTCTTAGATGAGGCAGGGCCAGTCACGGGGCAGGTACATTTGTAAATGTGATAGATGTTGCCAGCTTGTCCCCTAAAGGGAGCATATTGATTGTGGTTCCAACTGACCCATGAGGGATTGCTGTTCTCCCCACCTGTCTAAGTGGGCTGGATGTCAAGGATGTGACAAGCAAAGAGGTGAGAGAGAAAGAATCCAAATGTGTTTAGAAGAGGTGACGATGAGTGATCAGAGGATGCTGAGTTGGCTGGTCACTCGCTCTGTGACTTTACAACGGTTACTGGATAACTGTTTGCCCTGGCTTAGGAATTCCGAGCCAAATGTGCTTGTTAGTCACAACTGTCCGCCAGGGGGTGCTGGGTGTCCCCACATGCCCTAGACTACAAGGATCATACCATTAACATGTGCCAGGCACTGTGATGTGTGTCACTTCACAGGTCCTCACAGTCACCTTGAGAAGGAAAAGCCCAGAGAAGTTAATCACTCGCCCAAGGTCACAAGGACCTAAGAGCATGAGGACTCTGGGATTCATGCACGGTCAGTCTGACTTCACAGTCCATCTGACTTTAGGGTTCAACCTATCAACTGCAGTGCTATCTGGCTGAGACTATCTGTCTCAGCCAGGTGACCAAAGACTTCACCCTGCTTCCTGAGACCCCAGTATTGTTTCTCCCTATGGCTAGACCTGGAGACATTCTCTGATGGAGCTTCCTGGTGACATCAAACTGATTCTTCTCACTGATGGGCCTGGGGCCTAGGCCCTGTTCTATGCCATGAAGATGAAGCAAGAGCTGCTGCAGTGGCTCAAATGCTGGGCCTGCCTGGAGATCTCGTCATCTTGGCTGTCCAGGAGTCCCCACTGGATGCCTGTATATCATTCATTCATCCAACCGTTCAACAACTACTGATCGAGCATTCTAAAGTCAAATGGATTTCAGTTCCAGCGTCACCACTTCTTTGCTGTGTGATCTTGGCCAGGCTACTCCTGAGCCTTGGTTTCTGCATCTATCATACCCTCTGAGGGTAGCTGGGCAGCAAGAAGCACCTGGCACAGAACCTGGAGTGCCAGAAGTTAGTCTGGTAATCACTGAACAAGACCCATCCTCCCCTGCCCTGCCCTGCCCTGCCCTGCCCTCAGAGTCTTCTCTGCTAGTACAAAGGAGCATTCTTCCATGGGCATTTGAATGCCTAACCCCAGGCTGGCTCAGAAACCAGGGTCCTGAGCCCACCAGAAGATGGCCTTTCCCAAATATACCTTGGTGATCGATGCCTTTCTGTGAGCAGCCAATTTCTACAGGACTCATTTATCTGACCCAAAGTCAGAGCAGCCACCCTCCTACCCCCACACCCCTAGCTACAAGCATTCTAAAATTAGCTGGCAGTTGCCGAGTCCACGTAGATCCAGTGCCTGGGAACTGGAAGGCCTTGGCGTTGTCACCTGAGCCCTCTTCCCCATCCAACTGCGTAATGAATTGTCAGTCTCGGCCACCTCACCAATGGTCTCAAGTTTACAGCTGTTCCACCGTCAAGGACGCTGGGGCTAATGGCTCTGAGAAGACAGATCAACTGGAGAGCGTCAGGATGATAAATGGACTTGCCCAACGCCAGGATGTGGCTGCTGGGCTGCGTGTAAAAGGGAATGCCTAATTTGTTTGTACCCACAATTACGTGGAATCTGCTCTTCAGGTTATGATTTAGTGCGGAAGGGGTCCCAAGCACAGTCTCTGTTTGGAGAAATTAATTATTGCAAGTGGCGCCAACCTTTGAGCTCTGATGGCTTTGGATAACCTCCAGGGCCCTGGGGGTGGGGGCACATCCCTGGTTAGGACCTGCCCAGTATGCATGGGAACAGAGACTAAATGCATCAGAGGCACTGGGAGGGCTCTGGAGATCGATTTTTATCCCCGAGTCTGCCCGGAAACCTTTCTGCACAAGCCTTCTCCTCACACACTTTTAAACAGACGTCCACACGTGGCTTCATTGGGCTCCCCTCCCCCCAAGATTACGCGCCTCATCAGACATAATCCAATGAGCAGGTCAGCCACTGCCGCCCCACTGGATTCCAAGGGTTTCTCCTGCCAACTGAATATTTCATCCAGCTGTAGATATCATGAGGAAATGGCAAACAAAGAGAGAGATTTAATAACTGGAAATAAGAGTAAGGATGTGGAGAGTTTAATTTTTTTTTGTATTGCATCTAATTGCAATCAACAGTAGACATCTGAGTCAGTGACAGCCTCAGCAAAATTGCTGCTGAGAGAACAGAATCTTTGTCTAAAAATAATCAGACATTCTGTGCACCACTGTTTGTTATAACGGTAATCGATGCTGGAGGCTTTGAATTCCATCAATTTATAGATCTGCGCAGGCCTGCCCGGCGATGAGGCCGGTACGCGGAGGCCCTCGCCGGCTCGGGCAGTGCCGGGGCCCGGTGTGTGATTAAGATAAGCCCCGATTCCTTTCATACATTCCTTATCAGGGGCTCATTCTCCAGCAGGCAGAGATGTTCACAACAGTTAAAGATTAGTGCAGCTTCTCAGACGCCAAATTTGAGGGTATTGATCAATAAATCAAATCAGGCCAATCAATCGCCCAATCAGGAGAGTCTAGCCAGTGCATTATTACCGGCGCCTTGAAGCCAAAGCTTTTCATGGGTTTCATCAAAACAGCCTCACCTTGGCTTCCCGCCAGCTGCTGGCTTGTCTAATAGACTCCACAGCCGAGAGGGGCCTCCTGCCCAGCGGAAGAGCAATAAATTTCTCATCAAACAGCCGATGGAGAAACAAGATGAACATCTGTTTTGCTGCAATGAAACTCCTGTGTTCTTCAGAATGTGCAAACCGCCTCTGACAGACCACCCCATAGGCAGCTTCCCTGGCACTCAGTGGCCCCGCGGAATATTCCGCCGGTTATTTCAATCAGGTAATTTAAGGAGACTTTTGCATTCTTCTCTCTGCAGCTGCTGGAGCTCTGCAAAGACTGTTCCGGCGCAGTCGATAATAAATGCCATCCTGGGACCCTGTAGTATGAAGGCAATTTTATGATACCCATTATGTGGCAATGTAACTTCATTAAAAGCTGTTTATTCCCTCTAAGCATTTTAAGCACTTTCCCTTACCCATAAAGGAGGAGCCAGGAGGTTATTTTTACAGAAAGGGTTCTAGGCCGTATTTCTTTCCTCAATAACATGGGAAGCCTTGCCCACTGGCTGTTTCACTTTGAGGAAACACTGCCCAGGGCAGCCAGGTGAGGCCCATGAGTTCTCAGGCTCTATACACAGGACCACCCTGATTGCAGGAGCTACAGGAGTTAAGGGGTCCATACAAGAGAGGACTGGGGAGGTCCCAGCTTTACCAGATCCCCACAGGCCCTTTGTTGTGGGTCCTACCTACCAAGGAGTAAGAAAGTTCCTGAATTAAACAGCTGGGAAAATGTCATCTAAAGCCAGCATTTTCCAAACTGGGGTTTCCTGGGACCTTTTCTTTTTCAGGTTGACACTAATCCAAAGCAACGTTTGCTTAGCCTGTTGTGAATGCCCACATTTCCTTTGACAGGTAGCTAGGCACTGAAAAAGCATTTTGTAGTCTGAGATGTGACTATCCTACTGTCATATCTTCTTTGGCAGAGGCCTAGAGCCTCTTGGGCTGAGAGAAGCAAATTTCAGGGTCCAGCAGGATGTTTCCATCCCTTTAGAAGGGTCTGTGTGCATCCTAAACAACAGGAAGGGTCAGTGAAAATGACTTTTTGGCTTCCTCGAAAGTAGAGGAGGGCACAAGAGGGGAAATGCTTCTGCAGGGAAGAGTAGCTGTGAGGACCCGGCAGGAGGAGGACGGCTCCTGAGGAGGATGAAGGAAGGAGGATGCTGCTGAGGAGGGAGGGATTTGGCTCAGCTGGGCGGCAGGGTGGCAGGCCTGTGTCAGGGCCAGGGGAAACCATGGGGTGGGGGGCTTCTGCCCCACAGTGGGCCCACGAGCGGTCGGAGGCAGGTAACACACTAGGCAGAGGAATGGCTGGTAAGGTAAGTGGCACATTGTCCCTGACCAACCCGAAGGAGAGCAGGCAGGAATGATGACAGTGGTGCTAGTAGTGCTAGCTAAGACCTCTCTGTTCTGCTCCATGCCAGGCACAGCTCTGATTCATTTCATCCTCTTAATGACACTGTGAAGTCACAAAATTATGACCCCCATTTTGTAGGTCAGCAACTGAGGCCAAAAAAGCAAAGTTAACCTTCGGAGCATCATGCTGTGAGTAAACAGAATTGATCATGAACATTTCTCAGGTGCTTATGGAGGTCCCTGTCCTGTGCACCCACCATGCATTTTCATGACTTGTCTTTCTAATGCTGCTCCACCGTATTGTGACTTTCCCTGTTTCACAGATGCACCTCCGAGAAACAGACTCGGGCAGGAGGGAGTAAGGAGGCCAGTGAGGGTGGGGCTGGGACTGGGCAAAGTCCTGACCCCTCTGAAAAGTGTTTCCGGGCTTTCTAAGACATTTGCTGGGCTCCTGCAGGGCGCTGAGATGAGGAGGGCAGTCCCAGCCCCTCAAAGAGCTCCGACTCCTGCCTCAGCTAATTGTTGTTGAGGAGGCAGCCATAAGAACCGACACTGCTCCTTCCAGCCCTCTCCCTCAGGCTGTCCAGCTGGGAGCAAAAGCCCGACCGAGTCCCACATGGCCCGGGCCTCACACTGTGCAGCCTTGCTCTCTCTCCCACTTTCAGGGTGTGGGCTCACTGGAGTCTGGTGGATGCCGGCCATGCTCCAGCACAGCTCTCAGGTGCTGTAACTATAGAAAAGCCCCGGCCCTGGCCCTGCATCTCCACGTGACTCCTCTTCATGGCCATCAATAACAGGACTTCATTTCAGACGGCTGCCTATAAATATCTACCTCTCCACTGGCCTCCAACCCACTACCCAGCCCTCAGCACAATGCCAGGCACATAGAGAATATTAAAGAAATATTTGTTAAGCAAAGTAGGGAGTCCTGCCCTGCCACTGTCTCCCAAGTGCATGCCCTGTGGCCTTTCCCTGCCCCACCCCAACTGAATCCCATCCAAAGTGTTCCCTAGTTCTGAGTCACATTCTGTGAACTACGTGTGGGAAGGGAGCAGCTAGATATGAAAGCAGGGAGGAAGGAAGAAGGGAAGGAAAGCAGGGAGGGAGAGGGGAAGGAATGTGTGAAAGGAGAAGACAGGCTCCTGCATCTACCCTCATTGAGCCAAGAAAGCTGTGGAACACAAATAAACGCAGTCAGAGGGCTGGACTTGTCAACCCGAGAGCAAGTTACAATCCTGCCAGACCATGGGACTGTCTGCCCAAAATACAGATATGTCCCAGGGTCTCTCATACAGAGAGGCCACAGTATATTAGATTTATCATACACTCCAGCCAAGATGTGCTGCCGAGATTTCAGAGCAAGATTTATTACACTGGCAGGTTTTTAAAATGAAAGTGAAAAGAGGATATTCTGGCAAAACCCAGGGCTGTTAATAGGGTGAGAATCACATAAAATGGATTCTCTTCGAATCTCTTCCTCTGCGTGCACACAGAGACCTTTGGAAAACCCTGGGGTTTCAGGAAAAAGACGCTGGGCTCAATGTTTTCACGCTGACCTGCAGGGCGACCTTGGGCGAAATACATTTATTCTTTGGATATATGTTTCTCATCTAAGCAACAACAATAACAAAAAAATAATAGCTATAACTATTGATTTTTTACTCTACGCTGGGCACTCTGCATGGAGTGATTCTTTGATTTTTAAACTTTTTTTTTTTTTTTTTTTTTTTTGGTACCGGGGATTGAATTCCTTATGCTTGCCAGGCAGGCACTTATGCCACTGAACTAAATCCCCAGCCCCAGAAGTATTTTTTTAACTGATACACAAAACAAAATAAAACAAAACAATATAGATTTATGGGATACCATGAGGTGAGAATGTGAATCGTGGCAATAACCCTCTGAGATAGTGACTATTTTGTCCCTTTATATAGGTGAGGCTCAGAGAAGTATGGTTACTGGGACAGCCAGGGGCAGTCTGCTAACCCAGACCTGGGCCAGCCCCAGTCAGAGACTTGCTGGGACCATGACCTTCCTCTCTGGGAAAAGTTAGCTCTGCCTATTGTGACAGAAGCTTCGAGACACTCATACCTTATCATTCCTGTGCCGAACCGAGATTCCTACAAGGCAGCCCAGCCATTCACAGTCCTGGTGGTAGCTGCCTAAAGGCAGCTGCACCTCCCCCTCACAAAACAAAACAAAACAAAACAAAACAAAACAAAAAACAAAACAAAACAAAACACAGTCCACTGAATTTGGCTTCCTGTGGTGTTTGCTGCTGGATTCTCAGGATCTCAGAGTTTTATCTTGTGTTGGGTGTATACGCAGGTGAGCATGTGAAAGGGGACAGGGAAGAGAGATGGAATGAGTGTGGCTGGAGGAGTCCAGCACTGGCAAGACCCAAACTCTAGAATGGTAGCTCTCAATCACTTGTCAGTGTATAGAGATATGTTTTTGTGCGGGGGATGGAACCTGGGGCCTGGTGCATGCTGGGCAAGTGCTCTGCCACTGAGCTACACCCCAGCCTGCTACAGACATTTTGATCATACTTGGGATGAGATGCTATGGGCCCCTAGTAGCAGGGGCATTGGTAAACGCTCTGCAGTGCACGTGACTGTTTCTGCAACAATCAACCATCCAGTCTAAGATGTCAGCCATGCACAAAGCTGAGAACATGGCTCTACAAAGGGCAACAGGCAGTTCCCTTGAAGCATAGAAGATTAGATAAGAAAAGAGCTCAGATCTAGGTAAGCAAAGGATGTACTCACAAACAGGTTTCAGGCCAACATAAGGAAGATGGCCATGGTGACCAGAATTGAGTATTTTTAATCCCCAAAGCCATCCCAGCATCAGCTGATCAACTGACTTCTATGGACAGGAAGATCAAGCCTTAAACAGGGGGCTGGACACAGTGATCTGACATTAACTCACATCCCAGGGGGATGAGATCAATGAGGTTTGAAGGTTCCATCCAGAATCTTCTTATGGATCATCTCAGTACACGGGCACTATGGTTATTCTTATTTTGTAGGACATGGAGGCTCAAAGAGGTAAAATCACGAGTCTGAGGTCACAAAGCTTAAGTAGGAAAGTAAGGATTAGAACTCAAGTCTGTCTGATTCTAAACCACAAGAGATACCCCTCAAACTCAATCCACTTGCTCTAAAGCATGGTTCCAATGTTTTTAATTTAAAATTAAACCCAGAGTAAGCACCCACCACCAGCCTCACCCACCACCAGCCTCACCCACCACCACTTTGAGAATCACAGTTAGGAAACATGGACCTGGTGCCTGAGACCCAAGTTCAACAGTTCAGCCTTCTATCAATGTTGAAGACACAAAAACATGCTCAATAAATTGCCCAGCCCCCTGCTTATTTTTTTAAACAAAAGCACAGCAACTAGCAGTGAAAAGACGTTGTCCCAAGCATGCACTTTAATTGATGTCCCTGATCATTCAGGAACATGGATAAAAGGCAACTCACTGTATTAATAGGCCCTCATGCTAATTAGCACAATTTATTGTCAGGGAGGCAGTGCCTGCCTTCTGCAAATGTTACAAGTGTGGACAAAAAAACTTTTGTCATGAACCCAATGCAGGATGGCCATGTGACCAAGCCTACCACAAAGACACAGCAAAAGCACACGGTTTCAAGAGGCTACTTGGAGCTTGGCTGTCAGTGTACACACTGATGACGTAACATGATTCTTTCCCAGTAATAAGAAAGCCCCAATTTAAATGTCAGCCGTTGCTGCACAGAAATACCCAATTCTCACTGTTCGGGGAAGTATGGTGACTGCGAAGCTTCGTGGAAATGTGTAAGGAGGTGTGGGTGAGGGGCTGGGAAAGCTGGAAAAAAAATCCTTACATGTTTAATACTCAATAAATGTGTCAATTTTACATACAGAGGCAAATGGGCTTTATTGAGGAATTGGTAAATTTCCTTCGAGAAAAGTAAGTGCA